AATAAACAATTTGGGGTAACCTCATCATTTCATACTTTAAATTTTTCCACAAAGCAATTCACATATCATTTAATACTAATACTTCTTTAAACCTCTATGACTTAAATAGAAAGAGACTCATTTCTCAGAGATTACATGTGAAGATGCCAGGGAAAAAGATGAATCCCTAATATGTAATTCTAAATTTTTAACCCCAAAATAGACCCATGTAAACACTGGGCATTCAAATCAAATATAATGGAATTGTGCCATAGTATGGTATATGGCATTTTTTAAAATATCAAGAACTGAATCAGATTTATTGCTATGTCAATCTTATTAATAGCTGATAATTAAATGTACAAAATACACCACAACATCCATGCCAAAAACGATGCTGTATAGAGATATCATTAACATAAGTAGGTAAACATTTATCTTGTAATATACATCACTAATATAGTAAAACCTTATTCAGGGTAGTTTGAATTGATAAAAGTCTAAAAATTTGAATACTTTAAAAAGATATGCAGTTTAAGCACTCATAAGCATTCTTTTTTTTTTTTTTGCTTTCAAGTATACAATTTCAAATATACAATTTGCATTGGCCAAGTATTACCTATTATAATTCTTTTGGGTATTTGTTTTAAAGACAAGAGAATGCTTTTAAAATAGTATTCTCAAATAAATGCTCTAAAAAGCTTAATATTTTCCCAAGATTAAACATTTTTTAAAATATCTTGATTATGACTTTTATTAATAAACCTTTCATCAGGTAATACAAAGCAACCACCACTCAAGTCCTTGTATCAATGGTTACACATTCTAAGTAAATCATAGGACTTCTATGGTATCGTAATTGCTTTTTAACAAATGAAGATTAGTATTTCTACTTATTTTGGTTAAGGTGAAATGAATGGTATCTTTTTTGGTTGGAAGAGATCAGAGTAGGTTCAAAGTCTAGTATGTAATTTTAATAGTAAGGACTAAGAAAAATCCTAATATTCACAAACAATTAAGATATTAATTCCTTGATAAGTTATAACTGTGAAAGGAAAATCAAAATTTTAAGAAGTATTTATTGTATTATTAGTGTTATGAATTGCTAACACCAAATTTTACCCTCTCTCCCATTTCAAAACATCAGGCCATCTACTAATCCATAAATATTGATGTTTCACATACTTCATAGAGTAGCTTAAACATACCAGCATAAGAAATAATTAGTATTACATAGTAATTTCCTTTGCCATAGGAATAAATGTTGGACAAAGTCTGGAAACACTTTATTTTCCAATTTGAATTACAGTAATTTTGCCACAGACCACAGCACTAGTGCATGTGTTACTTTAGACATGCTCTAAGAACAAAACAAAAAATTACTGCAAAAATACATGTCACCAATGTGGAACACACTCAGATTTGTATAAAAGTACTGAACTAATATCCCAAAAAGAGGTATATGTAAACAGTACATAAGGAAGAAATAGTTTTAATATGAAACAGTCATTTAAGTCACATACATCATGATAAGAAGCAGGACTTTCTTTTATAAAAGATATTTTAACTAACAAGCAACATCATCTATGTCACCTACAGAACAAGAAAAGTACAAGTCTTTAGAATAAGTTTTAATATAATTGCAAGTAATGTATTTTGACAAACTATGATAAAGATGAAGCTTATCCATTGGGTTTCATTAAAAATTGTCAAAGAAATACAGGCAGCCTCTGATGAACTCACATCTGGCTTAAAGATAGCCACTGTTCATTTCCCCTAGGATGTATGTCAGGGGAGATGTTAATGCCAGCCCTCGTCTCCCTACTCCAGGAGTACCTCTAAACTTCCATCTCTGTACCTAGTTAGAAAAATGCAGATGTGACTTCTATACTCTTCTATTGGATAAACAGAATAGGGAGAAAGGGGAAGTTATTAATTTTGAAATGAGAAAAAACCTCTGAGTTCAAAAGTTGAGGGAAAAAAACTGTAAAAAGTCCCAACAATCTAAAGGAAATTGATAAGTACTCTCAAGAGGCATCCACCAATTCAATAAAAAATACTGCTTCCCACAGTGCCTGAGATGTGGTCATATTGTCTGAAATCCTATTAGATAAAAATTCATTCTGAATAAGCGGTCTTTAAAAATGTGTAATCCCACTTTCTTCACTATCTTCATTCACATCTTGGTGGAAAACATTTTTCCCTTAAAATCTAGCCAGCCATAACCACAGGGGAAAAAATGGGAATTCTGAATGGAGAAAAGATGAAATTTTGAAGCACAGAGCATCCAGTAAGGGAAAAGGCAAGTTGGCTTATATAGTATTCCACCGGAGGGTTTAGGATGGTAAGAGGACAACTAGGAAACACTAACACCAAGAAACCTAGCTTTCCTGAATCCCATCAGGAAAAAGGAAAGACTCCTGTTTCTTTCTACCTCCTATACTGATTGGTTCCCTAAAGAAAACTGAGTGCTCAGCATGATACTAGTGGTTAACTACATTATGGTTGAAATAAGCCTTTATCAGCTTTCCTAACAATCTAATCATTTTATATAATGTTCCAAACCACTATTTACAAATGACATTTGGGAGCCTGGATGCCCTTAATTGAACTTTTTAATTAAAAAAAAAATCAAAATAGCACGAATGCTCATGCATATGAAACCCCTATACACTGTTAAAAAAAAAATCCAAAAATTCTTTAGAGCTCCCTTAAAAAAATTATTACTTACATTTTTTTTTACTATTAAATACAATTACTACAGTACGCTGGACAATAAGTACTAGCACTTTTAATATGTTCAAGACAAACAAGTTTGAAAGAATTCTAGATGAAGACTCCTGATACTTATTTGGATGACTAAAGTCAGCAGAATTCATGGTGACCCACACTACTGAGGTTTTTTCCTACCAGTAGGCAGAGCTGGAAGTCTTAAAAAAAATCAGATTTCTTTATATTGTGTAAATCCAGAAAGAGTAAGCCCCACTAGAAGAAAATCTTGCTTTATGTACATAATCTTCTAATTTGGGTAACAAGAATCCTAATAGCAGTACTCTAAAAGTATTTCGCACCAAAGGAAAACAACAATCACAAAACTAATTCTAAGCGCTCTATCTGAAGAATAATTTTTCTTTCACAAGCTAAGCTACTTTGGCATTAGTGAGTCCAGTAGTTCAACAAGTAAGTAGACTAGGAATTCTCTAGTAAAATGAATAAGCAAGTTCTGGGAAAGGAATAGATGCTTTAAAACTATCAGTAATCTAGCTGTCACGAGAAAGCCTAGCTGCTGAGTGTTAGCCAGGTTGAACTTAGACAAAACTTGGGAATATGGGAGAAACCATGTTTTCCTGCTCCATTATGTGTGTGTGTGTATCTCTGTGTGTATGTGTGCATGTGAGATGAGGCCTTCAGTGAAGGAAAAGGATTATATAAAAAAAGGTGCAATGCTACTGGAAGATTATTCTACCTAAGTACAATTCTTTTCATTACTGAATATTTGAAAATGTTTAGGGTAGCTCATCACTTGTCCTAACAAAGCCATATCAATTTGTGTAATAGCCTTTTTTGGGTCAAATTGGACATTCTTATACTTCATCACTTTTCCTATCAAAAACCATCTAACTTTTGACTTAGTAATCATATACAGACAAATGTGGAACTAGTTAAGAAATGTAATTTGAATACATGAAAACATTCACAAACTATGGTTATAGTTTACCTGTGACTCATGGTCAGTCAACCACGGGTTTTTCTCTGAATATTTACAGACTCTTACTTAAATAAGGTGCTCAGAAGATCTAAATACTTGAATAAAAATTCACTTGTAAGTTTTCAAAAATGGCTATTTGGAAATGGAAAAGAATCACATTACAAATCAAGTACCTTTAGACTAGCTTGGGAGAGGTTACTTCACTTTCACAAAACAACTACTGAAACTGTAAGCAACAGATGGCTTAAGAAAATGCATAATCAATTCTAACAGTAAGTACAACTCAAGTACTACCATGTAAAATGTTAACATTGGAAGTGTCTTCAAAACCAGCACTCACTAGGATTTCAAGATTTCAAGAACAACATAAGTAGGTCCTTAAACATTTAGAAAATCGCGTACTTCAAATATAAAGTAAGCAACATGGGATCTTCAAAAATGTTTCTAAATACATCAAAAGTCGGAGTCAGCCAAAAATACTGCATTTTCACCTGCTTCAATTGGTAAAGTTTTCACACCAAGGAGTACCTAGTATAAGAGTTTATATCACTTCATTTCCTAAAATTGTAAAGATATATAATTTACAGCTATATGGAAAATATTTTGTACTCACCTCTAACTAGTCACAGGTAAATGGAGAAAACCTTCTACTACCTTGTACCATATGAAATTGCTGTTTTTGTAGGTCAAAATTAAAACACTATTTAAAAAAATAAGTTTTATTTAATCAAAATATGCATCATGAGCATTAATAGTTTTCTTCTAATAGGATATTAAATATTTCATTTTTATAAAATTTGTCATGTCTTCAACTATATAAATTGTTCATATCCCTCCAATTACTGTTTCTTAATTGGAGAACATGTTGTTTATTAAAAAAAGCTTCAAATGATGAAAAAGATGATAGTTTGCTGGATAAAGGTCTGGTGACTATAACGGATGTGACAAAATTTAAAATCCCAATTCAATTAATTTTGCTTTAGTGGCTTGTGGCATGCGAGGTCAAGTGCTGTCATGTAAAAGTGTAGGCTCATGTTTATTAACCAACGAATGTTTTTTTAATCAAGAGTTTCACGCACAATTTTAATTTCTTGGCGAGACACTGCTGCTGCTGCTGCTGCTGCTGCTTCACTAGTGTTTAAACAGTAGTAATTAATTATTCTTCTGCAGATCACTATGCGGCCTTCAGAACTTTTTTGGTCACAATGCTAATGATGGTGCAAGTTTGGGAGCTTCACCAACATCCAACCATTGTATGAATTGCTATCAATCCTCAAACAGTATCTTGTGGTGTATTTTGTTTGTTTTTTTGTGTGTGATTTTTTTGGTCACAGGTCACTGCTTTAAGTCTCAGCGAGTACACCTCTGTCTCTGTTCTTGATCATCGCCCAGGAGGATGTTCTTGAGTCCATCGTTTCACTTTCCTCAGTCACAACAGAAACTCCTATCTACTTCAAGGCCTTGAAATTGTTGTTTATAAGTTAGCTTTCACCCTGGCTCTTAATTAGTCTTTGCTCAAAATGGATTCTGATCTCCCCCGAGGTTTGTCTTTGAATCCAAATCCCCAGAACAAGATTTTTCAAACCACCACTGAGCAGGTCTCACCAGCTGAGCTTTCTAAGGCCAACTTGATGTTTCCACCTATGTCATGTGCAGTATGTCCTGGCTTCAAATCGTGTTAAAAGAAGTATTTGCAATTCTTCCGAAGATACTGTTATTTATTTCTCTGGAAAACAATAACAAAACAACTCAATAATCAAAGGAAACTGAATGAAGAGCATAATACTATTGTAATTCTAAACAGCACAACTAGAAACATATTTCGCTTCAACTCTACTAACTGCAGTCCTTTATCAACTGATCTAATAGTAGCAATTTCATGTGGTACAATCCACAACTTAATGAACAAATACTTACTAAGCATCTACTATATGCTAACATCTGTCTCATATCTGTATAAACAGATAGCTTGAAAAGACTGACTTGAAAATAGGAAGTCACTAACTTCAAAGACCCTAGTGGGAAGAAATCTGGTAACATACTCTATTATTTTTTTTAAAACATCCATTAAAATGTATGCTTTCTTCCATGTTATAGCTACACATATTTTTTCCTGAAAACATGTCAATAGATCCTTGAAAAATTTTTTGAACCATTTAATGTAATATTAACAAAGTTCAGCTCTGCAATGTACATTTTTCAATGATTCTAACTTTCTAAAGTCAAAACTTGCCTACATTTGCTATATATTATTTTGAAGCTTCAAGAGGCTTTTTTATGTTTATGATTAACAACAACAACAACACCAACTAACATTTATTAGTATAGTACTTTCTAAAGCACCCCCATATACATTATTCTCATTTACGATAGCAAACAAGGACAATATAACATTTGCACTGGTAATGAAGTAGAATATTAACAGAAACTAAAAGGTAAATAAACTTTTTGTGTGTGCATTTAAAAAAATAATGTAAAACATTAAAACCCTGTGTCACTGAACCTCTGTAAGACACGGGGGGAGGGGACCCTTTAGTTAATGCCGGTGATTAAGCATCACTGCCCACTGCAGGTGGACCGAAAGTCTCTCGAGTGCGCATCAACTGGACATCCTTGTCAGCCATACAGGTGTCACAGCCCCATACTGCTGAGGCCTCTGCAGTTAGGAGGCCATAAGCGGTTTCAGTCATTCCAGTGCAGATCCGATGAAACCATTTCTGACAAGAGGCTTCACACAAGATGGCATCCTGATCATCATTGACTTCATTTGTACAAATTCCACAAGGATACACTGGGTCAGAAGAAGAATGGCCATGACGGCTTGGGTGAAGAGAGGATTTATTGCTTTTTTCAGTGGTGCAGGTATCTGGGGCACCTCTAGGTTGTCGCGGCTTATTCTGTGTCCCATTCGCATGGCTGTTATTTGTAGCTTCTGTGGTACTTGAACGGCTATTCTCTTGATTTACTGCATTATTTCGATTAACATTTTTTAATTCGATATTACTTTGATTCACTGTGTCATCCATATTTAAGTGAGGCGGATGAGCAGAGGAATTTTGATTAGTATTTTTGGTTGCTCCTTGACTAAAGTCTTGTTTTTGGGGTGGTGCTTTTGCTTGACTGAAAGTGTTTGGGGGAGGAATAAAAGAATGATTAGATTCTAATGGAGAAGTAAAATTTGCATTATTTCCAGGGACAAAGTTAGATGACAAGTCAGGGTTAGAAACTTGGTTAGCATTCTGTGGAGGAATCTGATTGAAGTTTTCAGCAGGATTTTGTCGAAAATGTTGATTAGGCATATTAACATTCTGACTTAGTGCATTATTATAGGATGGGTTTCCAAAGCTTGAATTATCATGTGGCCCAAAGTTAAAAGCATGAGGTCGATTAAAACCCATGCCCAAAGGATTCTGAGGAAATGGGTGTGGCTGATTCCTGAGTGAGTAAGGACCACAGTATGGGGAAGACATTCTTGGAGGTACGTGAGGTGGCATTCTGAATGTGCTATAGCCTCCAAAGCCAGGATAACCAGGGCCAAGATATGGATTTGATGAAGGTAGTGGTTTATAGGAAATAGTATTATAGTTGTCATCAAATGGATTAGCAGCCACTAGATGGTCAGAGTTTGGATTCGGTGGTGGAGCATACTCAGACAATGGAGGAAAAGAAGGCCCCTGAAATGAGAATGTAGAGTAAAGGACATGTTTCGATCAAAGAAGTTATTAAAACTGTTATCTTAACATGTAACAGCCTAGCTTTAATCAAATTTCTCTTGCTTTATGAAAATCTAATTCATTTGACCTTTCAATTCCAAATAGTTTTCATATTTAATTATATTTAATGATTAAAATGTGTAGACTTCTTTAAGAAAGGAAAGGAGGTATGGTTTTCTGAGCTCAAACTCATTGTTACTTCAAATTCCAAAGGTATTTAAGCTTCAAAAGAAGCTTCATTATGTAACTTTCATTTAATATGCTTAACTGTAATTCTGGAACCTTTCACTTAAACCATAAAATTAAGTAACAATAAACAGGATCTAAGTTTTTTTGTTAGCTTAACTTCAGGGAGTAGCTATTAAAGTATTCCCCAAGCACTATGCTCTTGGCCTCAGAATGGAAAAATAAACTTCCAGTTTTAGTCACACTGGAAGTTTAACAGATGGTGGCCAAAATGGAAATAATCTGAATACACATCTTACTTTCTCGTAGTCTTTAAAATAGAAAGAGTGCTTCAAATTTATAAGGGATAAAAGCACAGAAGCCTGTTCTTATAATGGTTATCTAAGCACAGGTTATACACAAAAGATTCTTCTACCATGATCGCTTAATGACGCGTAGGTACTACTGAATTACTTTTAATAGCTGAACACTACTTCAAGTTAAACCTGTGTCCCCAGATTTTACAATCTTTTAGTAGAACTACAATTACCTATAGTTTTTAAGTTAGATTTAAGAACAACCATTTTCATTTGTCTGCCTACACTTCTTTCTTGCAATACTCACTTTAGACCTATAGGCCAACAACAGCCACTAGTTGCAGAATTTAAAAAAAAAAAATCACTTCAGAATTCACGATTAGGTTATGAAGAGGATAGGAAACAAACCCATGACCAAATTTAAATTTACCTCATCAGATTGATCTTATCAGTGAACAAAAACCATTATTAAAGAAAATGTCAATTTACCTGTGTATTTGTCTTGCGTTTTTTCTTGTCAGGGCTTCCTAGTTGTACACCTGGTCCTCCTAACCCATCCAGTCCACTATCACCACCTTAAAAAATAATAACATTTCCACTTGTAACTAAAATCATTTTACATCTCTCACAGCAGTATCTATCATAACTACCTGTCAATATATGTTCTATTTTTATCAGATAAAAGCAATACCAAGCTTTAAAAAAAAAACAAACCCTGTTTTTTTAAAAAGTCTTCCCCATAGTTTCAGCCAGAAACATTCATCTCTACTCCCACAGTAATTTTTATTATTCTTTCAGTGAGAAAGTCTCCATTCTACCCTTGAAGCTTTAGTCATCTGGTTTCTTATCCTTGAGGCAACCACCAGTTTTTGCTCTTTCAAAAGATAATCTAGAAAAATTCCAGCATAATATCTTTTGCGGGGAGTATACAAACCATAGCATGCATACTATACAACAATGCTCTCTACACTTTGCTTTCTTCTTAGAAATCATTCCATGTGATTACATACAGAACTGCTCCATCACCTAATAACTGAGTAGTATTTCATGGTATAATTATACCATAATTCATTAAACTAGCTCCTTCCCTACTGATGGATATTTAGGTTGTTTCCAAACCTTTGCTGTCTGCAATGAAAATCTATGTATAGGTGTCTTAAATACATGTACAAATCATTCCTAGAACTGGTATTATGGCACTAAATTTTATGTGGCCTTTAAATTCTTTTTTTTTTTTAATTAATTTATTTATTTGACAGACAGAGATCACAAGTAGGCAGAGAGGCAGACAGAGAGAGATGGGGAAGCAGGCTCCCTGCTGAGCAGAGAGCCCGATGTGGGGCTCAATCCCAGGACCCTGGGATCATGACCCGAGCCTAAGGCAGAGGTTTTAACTCACTGAGCCACCCAGGCGCCCCTGGCCTTTAAATTCTTAAAGGTACAACAATGTACGTGAGTATTATTTTCTCAACAGTATACGATCAAGCAAAAGCAAAAGCTTGACTGTGAAGTAAAGAGGCTAAAAAAAGTTTATCAATATACAACACTGTGAATGGAATTAATGTCACTGATTTGTATGCTTAAAAATGGTTTAAATGGAAAGTTTTATTTTATATATATTTTACCAAAATAAAAACTAAAAAGTACGGAGTTGACATGATCTGAAAATATCAACAGAATTTTTTTCTGCTGGAAAAACAATTATGGAGAATTCTGATCATTACAAAAGTAGACAGAAGAATAAAAGTATGTATACATACATAGATACACATTTGTAATAGATTCAGTGAGTTGACAATTAGAGGAGACATGCTCACGTATGTGGATTCTGAGAAAGGGGGTATTTAAGCTGAGACTTAAAAGATAAAAATAAAAATAAATATAAAATTAAAAAATAAACTGAGACTTACAGGACAAAAAGTCTCTCATTTAAACAGCCTAAGGAAGAGCCTCTAGGCAGAGAACAGCACGTATAAAGATTCTTAAGTAGAAAGAAGCCCGATGTGGAGCACCTGGGTGGCTCAATGGGTTAAAGCCTCTGCCTTTGGCTCAGGTCATGATCTCAGGGTCCTGGGATCGAGCCCCACATCGGGCTCTCTGCTCAGTGGGGAGCCTGCTTCCTCCTTTCTCGCTCTCTGCTTGCCTCTCTGCTTACTTGTGATCTGTCAAATAAATAAATAAAATCTTTAAAAAAAAAAAAAATGAAAGCAGCACGATGTGTTTGAGAAATTTAAAAGAGGCCGGTGTGTGAAGGGACTCTGGAGAATGCCACTAGAAGAGGTTAAAGAGATAGGTAGGGATCAGATCATTTAGAGCAGTGTGGACTGAATGTGTCCCCCCAAAATTCTTATTTTGAAGACCTACTCCACAGTATGCTGGTATTTGGATGTAGTGCCCTTGGGAGGTAACGAAGATTACCACCAGTCATGAGGGTCAGGCCCTTTTGATGTGATTAGTGGCCTTAGGAGAAAGAAGAGTATGTTTTCCATCCTCCCTCTGGAGTACAAACACAGGAAAGGCCATGTGAGGACACGGGCAAGAAGGTGGGCATCTGCACACCAAAAAGAGAGCACTCACCAGGAAGTGAATTGGCTAGCACCTTAACCTTGGACTTCACAGCCTCCAAACTGGGAAAATAAATTTCTGTTGTTTAAGCCACCCAGTCTACGATACTTTGGTCTTAAAGCCCAAGCAGACTAAGACACAAAGCCTTGTAGTTTATGCTAAGGAATCTAAATTTTATCTGAAGGACAGTGAATGATCACTTAAGGGTTATGAGCAGGAAAGTGATATGATTTAAGTTTTAAAAGTATTATATTAGCAACTGTGTTGAGAATGAATTGGTGATGGGACAGGGGTAGAAGCAGGGAGACTAGTCTTTTACAATAATAGTTCAGGAAAAAAAAATGGTACTTGGCAATAAAGAGAAATAAGTGTGTTGGACAAAGACTCCCACCTAACAAAATGTGAAGCCAATTTCTCTAAGAGCTATTTAGAGAAGCTTATATACAACAAAGGTGAAAAAACTAACAAACTAACAAAATCCAGTAAGGATTCTGGATGTTAAATCAATATTTAAACATAAGAGTGCTTTTTATACACAAACTAAAACCAGTCATAAGATAGCATAGAAGAAAAGTTTTCACTTATAGGAACAAAACTAAACTAAATTAGCTAGCAATAAATTTTTTAAAATTCACAAGGTCAGTATAAATAAGAACTTTCAAAAGTTCTATATTGAGAGACACAGAGAACTACTTCTAATAATTGGAAAGGTATTCCCTGTTCTGGCTAGCCATCTAGAACAAAATAACATTGTTTTTTATACCTCATTTATTATCCCAAACAGCCTTTTTGTGCCCTCCTCAGAGACATTAGCACCAGGCATTTGAGTTCCAGGCCCATGGAGCTCACCCTCAGAGTCCAGAGGCTTTAATACTAGAATAAGCAGCACCTCCTTCTCAGAGATCTGAGTTTAAACTCCACAGGGCCCCTCCGTGAATTTATATACTCTAGTAATTCCAACTTCTTTCCTGTGGCCTTAGGAATGGTAGCTGCTTCCCAGTCAACACCTCTGTGAAAACTTTAATATCCTATTTTGCCACTTCAGTTTAATGTCTGTTAACAATACCTTATATTAAATTTTCTATTAAAAGTAACTGGTATGGTTTCTATCTCCTGAATAGATCCTGACTGATACATATCTCAAGTGCCACCAGCCAGAAACTGTCATTACTAATAAGTTAACATCATATCATTCTAGACATATAGCTTATTACCTCCTACCTACTTCTCCCTCTGTGAATATAGAGCAGTAGTAATAACTTTACAAAGATGGGATACATTTTTAAATAAAAGCATTAAATTTTAACATTTTTATAATGTAATAAAGGCAATAAGAAATGAATTAAACTATAGAATATGTTAAATATTTCTTTACCATAAGAGAAGTTTTTGGAAAGAATCCTCTAAGTCTAAAAGAAATCAAGGAAAACATTAAGTTGGAAAATGTATGTCTTCCCTCGATTTTAGATAGCATTGATTGAACTTTGAATGTTTAAGATAATATGGTATCACATCTTACTCTACTTTTTTCCATCCTATTTCCTATCATCTACTTTTTCTATCTCTACATTCAATTCTTTATTTCAGCTATATTTTCTTTTATCTCATCTTTGAATACATTTTCTGCTCTTTGTTGAGTGCTCTATTGGGAGGGGCACTAATTATTATTATGCTAGAGGAATTTTTAGCTCCATATCTATTAGTTAGCTTTTCCAACTTTACCCTTTTTTAATATCTACTTAATCTATCTGTAGTTTTCCTATTTTCTTATTATATAGTTCATATATGTTATCCATGTTGTGTTCTTTATTTCTAATTTTTTTATTTGTTCTAGAATTTGTTTAGTCCTCAATTGGTTTCCTGAGATCTGCAATTTATATTTAATCTAATTTTGTTTTATTAATCATCCTGTCTTTGAACTCTTTCCTGCTCTTATTTTTGCTTTTGTTTTTTCATTAAAGTTTAGCACTTAAAGTACATATGAGATCTTTCCTTCTGTCTTCATCTTCTGCATGCTATTTCTTTCTTCTTCTTCTTCTTTTTTTTTGTTAATTCATTAGTTTCCTATAGTATGTTTACATAGTTATTTATTTTTATCTTGCAATTCTGTCTATATCTTTTATTTGCTCTTTTATTTAACATGGGTGACTTTCTGACTCTTTTATTTACATCTAAGATTACTTGGTTTGGGTGGTATGTTTTATCTATTGAGATAATCATGTGATTTTTTTCCCCTTTAAATTATTTTAATGTTCAACTCAAAACTAACATTCCTGAAATAAAGCCAACTAACTCACTTTTATACAAATGTTATCATTTTCATGTGACTGGATATGCTGTTATCTCTTTAGAACACCTGCCTCTTCTAGCAAGATTAGTAAGAACCTCTTGTGTTTCCTTGGTACATCCAGGTTTTTAATTCTCACATTTTGTTAAATGCCCATCTACCTAGTTGGGGGGTGTAGTACCCCACTCACATGGGAGGTTTCCCTGTGTTCCTTAATTCAGTTTGTATCTGATAGAAACAGTCCTCTTTTTTTTTTTAACTTTTTGTTTCATTCATTTTTTTTTCTTGCACAAAAGAATGAGAATATAAAGAATAGTCATTTAATTTCCTTCTATCCAGACTTGCGGTTATTAGTAAGAATTCTCAAAATTCTGTAAATTACTAATAGCTTCCAAGGGTAGAGACTGTCTTAGAAGCCTTAGTGCATTTTGCACTGTTTCAGAATTATGTTATTGGGCCTTTGTTTGCTGCTGTTGCTGAACATTTTTGCTCTTTTTCAAAAACAGCTTTGGTTCATTTTACTTAGAATTTAAAAAGAGATTCTGTAAAGTAGTTCTGTTCTACCATCCCAATTTAGAAGTCTGTATTTGCCTATATCTATGTTCTTTCAGCTCAATCTTCACGACAAACCTAAGAGGTAGGTAAGTCATCTCCACTTTTTAAAGAAAGAAAAAAGAAATGGAATGTAAAGAAATCATACCACTCATTAAAAAGTAGCATAAA